TTATTGGAGGAAAATGCATATACACACACGCACGCGCGCGCGCGCGCGTGCACACACACATACACACACACACACGTATGCTCAAATAAATTATAACGTGTTAATATATCCATTCGGAGAAGTAATAATTCCCACGTGTACAAAAATATTTCTCGCTCATTTTCGAGTCCGCAAAAATCCAATGGTCTCCTAATCCGCGAAAATTTTATTCCAACGTTACTCCAATGTATTCGACGCCTCTGCTAATCGCCATTTTCACTCGTAATCGACAAGACGATGTTGATCGCGACTTGTGACGCTCGTCGTTCCTCTCAGATCTTCCGACTTACGTCTACAATGCGCGTAAGCGACGCTTCCCGAGATGGACTCATCATCATCGGGAGTAAATGGTCTTGTTTTATAAATCAATTTTAACTTTATTTAAATACTCACGACTGTCCGTCATCGTGCCGCTCCTTTGGATGAACGATGAAGAGATACCGTCGACGGAGACGAGAAGGTAATTTTTGCTCGAGCGTTTTGGACTCGGAGCAATTTGGATCGTGGATTCTTTTTCTCCTCGTTTCTTCCTTCACAGATATTCCGTCCCTAATGGGACCGTCCTCGCTGTTTACTTACGCGTCTCGTGTCTCCTTTACGAGCTTACGAACCAAATTGGAATGGTGAAACGACACGGCTACCTTTAGCTTTGCGGGCGGAAGCGGAAACGACCGGCCGAAAGTTCCAAGTGACGTTTTCCTCGCTTCCGGCTGACGTTGTCCAATGGGAAACGTCGTTCCTAGGGATTTTTCGGCCGCAATTGTGTGATTTTCTTCTGAGTGAAAACGTGAAAAATCCTAGGAAAGAGAGTTTCTTATTGGCTGCTGGATGTCGATGGTAGATCGCGCCGTTTGAGTCACGCGAATATCGTGGGAACTAGGAAAAGGATTGAAAAAGGGAATTGAACTTGGAAACACACAATTGGAAAATAGAAACTTTTGCTGAAACGCTGGAAATTTCCAGCCTGTAATTTACCGGGCTGACCGGACTCCCTCGATCTAGATTAGCAAGGAGTTTAATTAAATATTTACTACGATATATTATATTTAAAAGTGAATGAGAAAGGCGATAAGTTTACAGTAGCGATTCTTCGTTTGTCAGTAAATTTATAATAAAATTGTTATATATTCTTTCACGAAAAATGCCGGAAAGATAATCTGTAAAGGTTAGAAAAATAGAATAAGAATTAACTTGATTACCACGTAGGATGTCTAGGACATTCTAATCTTATAAATTCGTTATATATATATGATTGCTATTTATATGTACGTTTGCTTTGTAATTTAAAAAATGTTTTTGCCTCTATGTTTATCTAAAGGATGTATAGAATATTGGACAATGAAAATTGAGATATAATGCTGAGATGTTGAAACATTTCACGTGCGTAATTTAAAGAGAAACACATCAGTAATGTAAGGTTAAGTTACATAAATCTTGTTCTTTTCAATTGAGAACTTTTGCAGTTTATTTTTCTTCTTTTTCTTTCCTCTTGAAAAGAAAAGAAAGAAAGATGAACTAGTGCAAAAGTTCAACCAAAAAGAACAGGCCTATAATGTCAATAGTAACATTGTTTTGGTACTAAACATTTTTTGTAAAATGCTCTTTAATCATTGGAGATTAATCATTTAATGTTTATTTTCAGAAATTTAATTAAAAACTTTCTTTACAGCTGATATTATTAAACTTTTTAACAAGATGTTTTATTTACTGCAAACTATCAAACATTTCTGCAATTGTATAATATTTTAATGTTACTAATGGAGACCAAAGTGACTAGTAAAACTAGCAGCTTAAAAGCTCTTTTGCTACGAGCTTGGCGAGAGCGTTGGACTGATTTGCAATGGGGTATTAATATTAAAACGGTAAACATTAACATTTTAACTCTGATGATAAATATGCTTTCCATTTGTTTTTTTAAATTCTAAATGTTTCCCAAAAATGTTTGAAACAAATCTTCAGATTCTTCCAAGAGGAGTAAGCGGTGATGTATATAACTTAGCAGATTGTATATTACAACAAGCATTAGTAGGGCCAGGACCTAATCAGTTAGTACTGTCGTATCTGAAGCACTCATTAAGCTCTCAGGTTTGTTTATTCCATATTAGAAGATATCTAATTGTATGCATATATCAGTGATTTACATTTCAAATTATCTTGCAGCTGGTGTCATATGCCGCAGTGTTGCAGCGAATAAGTAAATATGACGCGTTTCACAAGCCCCATTGTATTGTGAGTTTGCTGGAGTTTTTAGAATCCATTCAAGTTGGTATCACATGCCGTGGTAAACCGGAAGAAGATCTTTTAGCAGCAGCAGTTTTATCTATCGTACATTGGCTTCTGCAATGTTATCTACATACTTTAACAAAGACGCCCCAAAGCAATCCTCTCACTCCGCATCCGAGCGAGCTCATAGACAAACCTGCTAGTATTTTGCAGCAGATGCTGAATTCAGACTTTTTATGTGCGATGATGTATCTGGCTAAATATGATGACAAAGGTGTGATTAAGGCTGATGTTTTTAAATTTTTTATGCAATACAATGTAAATACAAATTTATATTTAATTTGTGTTTATTTTGTATAGATTTATGTATTAGTTATTAATTTTTGCATATTTTTTTATCTATACATCTTTTTTTTTTAGATCTATACATAGAAGTTGTGAAGAAATGCCAGGAAATCGAGACGTTACTGAAGACGAGTACTCAAAAATCTGTGGTGCCAATAGAAGATTCTCTGAAAAAGTTGTGTAATCTAGAAATCGAGAGTCTTTGCCCTGAGAAAACTAAAATGGAGTCCATTACTCATTGCTTGCAGCCACTTTTTGCCGTTCAAGTATTATTGAATCCTAGCACCGAGACAACCGTGTTCGTCAATCAGCTATTAATGGTGCAGAGATTAAAGAGTTATACAAACGCGCGGCTTTATTGTGAGATCATTCGTGCTTGTCTGATGTGTCTGCACAACGTAACAGGAACGTTCAAAGAATCTCAATGGGGAGCTTTTACATTTCTAAAGGTGCCGCACATATTGAAGGAGTTGCACGTAACTAATTTGAATGGTCGGTAAAATCATTTGAAGTTATCTGGCTGTCGGGAAAATAAAATTTGGTTTTACATCTTTACATTTTTATAGGTGATGAAAAGTTTGAATACTCGCAAGATATTCTGGATGCATTTGAGTTGCTGCTTCAGTTTACACCTTTGCTTGACATAATGGACACCACGTGCTCATGCAATTACGTAGAATGCTTGCTGAATGAATTGCAAAGGGTAAACCTCGTGACGGAGAAGCAAGCGAAACAAATTGGCGCTAGGAGGTATGCACCTGAAAAATAAATTATTTTTGATAAAATTTAGACAGTTGAATTTTATTTACGATTATATATTATTGCAGGGAAGGAGTGACTACGACGTCATCAATTCCAAAGGTAATTGTACGCGCCGGGCAGACACTGAACGGGATTTTGAGAACGCTGAACGCAGATTATGCAAAGATTCAGGAGGGCTTGCTGAGTGTATTATATCAAGTCTTGACGGGAAAGAGCTTCGAACTGATGTTGGCCGTGGCAACCGTAGAGGGAGAGTTGAAGACCTTTGTCACGAAACTCATCAAGTTTAACGAATGTAGTAAACAGATTAACGAGCCGGTACCTGATAAGACAGCAGCAACGAGAGCAATGTTGTTCGATGTATCATTTCTTATGTTGTGTTCCATAGTGCAAACATATGGTTCTGACGTAAGTCTGACGTTGATATGTGTTACAAATTTCATACATAGAGAATTTGTAACTTTAGGTCTGTTCTTTGTGTGGCTAAACTAGTATACACTTGTATTTAAAACAATGAAACAGATATATTTAAAGTTTAACGAAAAAGATAAATTTTAATGCAGTTTAGTGCAGCGACAAAAAATAGGCTCTTTATATGTTAATTACATCCATGTGCAGTTTTGTTATAGAAAATTGATTTTCAGGTTGTTTTGGAAGAAGGTGGAGATTCGTTCTTTGAGCAATGGGTGCGTGAATGTATGCCGGAACGGAATAAACTGAAATCGCCGCAGAGAATGTTGCAAAGCGTCGATTCAGCAAGGGTGGACGCCCTGCTGGCGCAGATTAACTCGCCGGATCCCGATTTCAAATCGAGTAACTTAAAATGGCACGTTGCATGCCAGTCGGCAATGGGCGCGGTGAAGGAGTTGCTCTGTGCGTGGGAGAGCGGAGTACTGGGCGCTGGCGATGTGAAGAGAGCTCTGGACGGTTTGCGAGCAACGGCCTGCTGTCTGCCGGTTTGTGCCGCTGCTTGGTTGTGCGCATACATGAGCATTACGCACCAAGATGCTCTGCTGAAACCTATGAATATGGTCCAGCACTTCCTGACGCCGCTTTCGGGTGATGAGATGCAGGATAATCTTAAAGACAGGTAAAAAAATGGCATAAATATATAATCAATTATATAACATTGTTAATTCAGTTTTTTTTTAGATAAAAATTGATTCCATTTTCTTTAGATGTTATTTCGTACATTTATATATTTGTATGTTACAATTTAAATTTTTCTATCTTTTTCTTTCAGATCCAGTTTAATGGTCCAGATTATTCGGAAAATGCAGTACGATGTGCATCCGCCCACTCAGTCGAAAACGAAAGTTCTCTCGATGTCACACAGGTATTATAGTATTTTTTGAAAGCGAATTGTCATCGTTTTTTGGGATTGTCATTTTTATGGCATTTTCACAGTATCATATCGCGTCAACCAATACTGGAACAATTGGAATCCGTTTGGCAAAACATAAATCAACGTGGGTGGATAAACATACAAGCCACGCAATCGTTGGAATCCCTGTTAAACACCGGTGGCTCTTTATGGTTCGTCACGAATATAGTCAAGGAAGTATTGAAGTATCGTTATCAAGAAGAACTGGATCAAGCCGTGGATCTGGCCTTCGCAATTTTTCATCTTGACATAGAGAATTGCACTCTAGACCTCATAAATCATATAATACCGCAATACTTATATAATTCGATGCAGTGAGTTCATCTTATTGTCTCGTATCTTGATCAAATTTTTGACAGCACGTTTGTTACACGTAAATTCCGTTTTACGTAGGAGTGACGAGCTTGTGGAACCACAGTCATCCATCTTGGCGAAATTATGCGTGTACTGTATATTCTCCACTTTGGAGTACAACAATTCGAATCCTTATCGAGGGAACAGCCGTAAGCGCGTGAGACGCGATCTGGACACGGATGATCTGGATGCTCTTGGCGTATCTAATAAACTTCTTCGACTCAATGAAACGGGCGAGAACGTTCCCATGTTCAGTTCGCAGAGTCCACAGGCGCAGGGTTCGAGTAATGGGCAAAAGTCGGTGGTCATTCTGAGGGATCCGCTTATGACGGCATTGAACAATCTGTTTACCATATTCGCCTTTTTGGCCGGCAGAGACGGTGAGGTGTCTCAACAGACTCATTTCATACTTCAGTTCCTGCGGCTCATGGTGCAGTGTGGGAAAGACAGGACTCGTATCGTGCTACAGGGAATGTCGCAAACACTGGTACGTTTTTTTATATTTGTAGCCAGTAATTTTATTTTCACTTCTTAATATCGAACATTTGGAGAAATAATTTACACGAGTTTAAAATTC